TATGTATTTAACCCCCCAAAGTTCCAATAGTTTTTCCTTTGAAAAATGTTCTCTAAAGTTTTCCTAGACAGTATTCAAGTGGAGATAAAATAATTTGGCAATAAGAACAATAACATGGCCGGGCAGTGGTGGCACACGCCTTTAATCGTTAATCCTAGCACTTGGGAGGCAGAGGCAGGTGAACCTGTGAGTTCAAGGCCAGCCTGGTATACATTGTGAGTTCTAGGACAGCCAGGGTTTCATAGAGAAACCCTGTTTTCAAAACAAAACCAAAAAGAATAATAACATGAACACTGGTTTTAGTAGGTTACATGTAAAAACAATAAATGATAAAGTATAAAACTTTAATAAGAAGTGAGGTTGGAGATGTAGCTCATGCATAGGGCCCTGGGTTTGAACCTTGGTACCTTATAAAACTGGACATGGTAATACATTCCTATAACCTCCCTGCTTAGGAGGTGGAGGCAGGTACATCAGAAGTTCAAGGTCATCCTCAACTACATGCTGAGTTTGAGTCTGGCCTGGGCTACATGAGGCCCCATCTCAAAAAAAAAAAAAAAAAAAAAAAAAAAACAAGGGGGTTTAAAAGAAAAGAATATATGCTGCACTCATTCTTGTTTGTTTGGGTTTTTTTTTTTTTGTTGTTGTTTGGTTTTTCAAGACAGGGCTTCTCTGTGTAGCCTTGGCTGTCCTGGAACTCACTCTGTAGTCTGGGCTGGCCTTAAACTCACAGAGATCCTCTTGCCTCTGCCTCCCGAGTGCTGGGACTAAAGCCATGTGCCACCACCACCCGGGTGATAATAATTTTTAACAAGGGCTCAGGAAGATGGTTCAGTAGTTAAAGTACTTACTGTTTATGCATGAGGACTGGAGTTCAGATTCCCAGAAACTATATAAATGCCCCACCTCTATGAGGTCACCAGAACAAGCTGCTAACCAGACTGACTATGTATAGGTAAATTCTGGATTCAAGTAAGAGACCCTGCCTCAACAAACAAAGGAGAGAGTGATCCAGAAAGACTCAACTTCTAACCGCCATGCACAAACACTGTACATGCACAAACACAGGAGGGGTTGTGCATTCCTGTAACAGGACTGGGAGTCGAGACAGGCAGATTCAAGAGTTCCCTGGCTGGCCAGCCTAGCTAGCTGCCTTTCCAGTGAAAGACATTGTCTCAAGGCAGGAAAGTAAAGCTCCATAGAAAAGGACCCAGTGTCCTGCTCTGGTCTCTGCATGCCCTCACCTAGGTATGCAAACCTGCACACCGTGCACATGCACCACAGTGCACACACAGACATGTAGACACGCATACTCGTGAGCGTGCATCACATCCATACACTATACACAGAACAACAGGGTATGCACACACAATTTTTTTAAATAGAGGTTAAGTGGAAAGTATGGATGGTGATTGGTGTTTTATTATGTATATGCTCTTGAGTAATGGAAAAACTAAGCTTTAAGATTCCCCAGAAGAAAAGAATTGCTAACAATGACTTAAAAACTAAGCACTTGCACATGGGTAAATAAAAGATAAATAGCAGCATAAATTGTATCTTCAGAGACAGAGGCAGGCAGAAATCTGTGAGTTCGAGACTTCGAGACCAGCCTAGTCTACAGAGCAAGTTCCAGGAGAAGCTCCAAAGCTACACAGAGAAACCCTGTCTCAAAAAAACAAAACAAATCAAAAATTGTATCTTCATCATATAAAATGTAAGAGTTTAGTTTTTTTGGTTAAACTGCATACATACATATGTACATACGTATGTACGTACATACATATATATGAGCCAGGTATTGTGTGCACACCTTTAATCCCAGCTCTAGGTAGACAGAGGCAGGAGGATATCTGTGATTTCGAAGACTATCTGGTCTACATAGTGAGTTTTTTGGAGACCTGGTCTCAAAAAAAAAAAAAAAAAAAAAAAAAAAAAAAAAAACAACAATGATTACTTAATTAATTAAAAGAATGAGTGTAGCATCAAGTTTTAAAAACAGCACAGAAATAAGGAAGTTAGAATTCAACAATGCCATTTTTCCAAGTTGTATAAGAGTGTTTGTAATAGAGAATGGTAACTTATGCCTGTGATCCCATCAGTTGGGAGGCTGATGCCAGGGCCTCATGAGTTTGAACCAACTTGCGCTCCATGAGAGCCTGTCACAAATAGAAACAAAAGGAAGAACTTTCAGAAAGAATTGGCATCATTTGGCTTCTTGATAAACTGTATCATGTGCTTCATAGCCATGTACTCCCCTAACACTGAGAGGTGCACCCTGCCTTGGAGAAGCCTGCAGGTAGTTTGGTGGAGTTGTGGGCCAGCACCAGCATCTCTCATTTGCACAGCCTTTTGCCAGCTCTCCATCATTAGAGACTGCAGTAAACTCTCTGTTTCCAGGGGCATTTCCTTATAATCACAGAGCCTTAAGTTTAGATGGATGAGTAACCTTGAATACAAGCCAGTGCATCCCGTGCTAACACTATACTGATTTGCTGACCCTGTGCATGTGGTTTGTAGTTCCTCTTTTAGTCATAGTGGCAAAATCATGTCATTACCCTTAGTATGACTGCTAGATATTTCTGTCACTTCTGAAATGCTGTTCTTGCAATAGCAGGTCTTTTTTTCTTTTCTTTTCTTTTTTTTTTTTTAAGTGCTCAAACAAAGACGGCTTTATTTGTGTAATTTAATTTTGCCTGAACATACAGTATTTTGGCCTTGGTCAGATAAGTCCGAGGTTTTCAACTGAAATAGTCTCCTTTTTTTTTTAAGATTTATTTTTTTTATTTTTAACTATGTATATGGGGTAGGGGACAGAATGTACACTTGTGAATACAGGTGCCTTCGGTCCAGCATCGATGTTGGATTTCCCATGGACCTAGAGTTTCAGGGAAGTGTAGAACTGCTTGCAAAGCTCACCTTATTTTATTTTTAATTCTGTGTACATGAATGCAGGTGCTCACAAAAGCCAGAAGAGGACATTGGATACTTGTAGTTTACAGACAGTTGTGAGCTGCTCAACGTGGGTGCTGGAAACTGAACTCTGAAAACTGGTTCTCTGCGAGAGCAGTACATACTCTTAAGACCTTGAAATAGATACTCTTGAAAACAAATTTGTCACGTTCTTAAACATTAACTGTTGCCTAGCTTCCACTAAATCATTTGTATGGGCCAAAGAGGACAATCCCTGGCCTTTCTGTTTTGTTTTTATGTTTTTTTTTTTATGCTTTTATCTAAGTTAAATTTAAAAAACAACTAAAATTTCATAAGCTTTTACCTTGAAATCAGCAGTTGAAAAATAAGTTAGTGTGTGGTTACTTGGTACCGTAAGGAAGACTGATGATAGAACAGATGAGAATGTCATTGTTCCTAAGTCGTGGGAAATGCTGGCAGCAGTTAGTTCTGAGGGATCAAGACATTGCTTATGCACCTGGACTTGGACGTCATGGCTGTGTAAGCAACACCCACCCCCACCCCCCCAATCCCTGTCAGAAACAGAGGGCAAACAGTCAGTATACAGAGGGCCGATGCAGTTGATTGTGGACCCTTCAGATGGTAATACCAGGCAACACGGGGAGAGCCTGCCACCCTGAGCGAGCATCTCCTTACCTTCTTGGATCTGAGTAGAATAGCAGGTTATCAATATGAAAATCTCACCTTGTTCATGCTAAATTCTGGGACCAAGTTAAGATATTAGGTTGTTGTGTGCAGTTATTTTACATTTTTATTTAAGATCAGGGATAGTTTTTAAAAGTATCTATTATTAAAGTGTTCCTTTAAATGTATGTGAGTCTAATAGGCTTTTATTTTCGTACCAGGTTATCTGTGCAACAATTGCATTTGGAATGGGAATTGACAAACCTGATGTGCGATTTGTGATTCATGCATCTCTCCCTAAATCTGTGGAGGGTTACTACCAAGAATCTGGCCGAGCTGGAAGAGATGGAGAAATATCTCACTGTGTGCTTTTCTATACCTATCACGATGTGACCAGACTGAAGAGACTTATAATGAGTAAGCCAAACACCTCTGGTGACATTGTCCTGTTGCAGCTGTGAGAACAGTCTGTCCCCGCTGTTACAGCATTTGGGTCCTGTTTTCATTAAATAGTCATAGAAAAATAGGGGCCTTTAATATGTATTGTAAAGTTATTGTGAAGGTAGTACATACCTGTTTGTCTTTACCACAGCTCTAGAAGATAAGACTATTACTTACCTCATTGCAGAGAAGAGTATGGGACATAGAGCTAGTGAACTGCAGACCCCTGAATGATCAGCTCATGTACTGCAAAGCCCATACTAAAATGATACTCAGCACAAAGCAATGAACTGTACAGAGAGCAGTCTTCGTTCATGATGGCTTGACTGATTTCCGCCTTATGATACTGGTTTATACATTCAGTTGAGACATGCTTTGAATTTTTATGGGGAGGCTTTCGGGGGTTCTAATTTTTATTTTATGAGTATATGTAAATGTCTGAATGTATGTGTATACCACTCGTGTGCCTAGTGCCTGTGGAAATCAGAAGAGGTCACCAGATTCCCTGGAGCTAGAGTTATAGCCAATTATGGCCTGCCATGTGGGTGCTGAGAACCAAACCCACATCCTCTGCAAGAGCAGCTAGTTCGCCAAACCACTGGGCCATCTCTCCAGCCCCTAGAGCTGAAGTTTAATGAGCTAGTGAAATACAGTCTGGTCTTGTCTTGTGATGTGGGGTGTTAGCAGCCTTATCTTGACATAGCCCCAACCAGCAGTTTATGGTCTGCCAAGTTACTAACCTAGGATCTTCAGTAGTTTAGGTACATTAAGTACAGCGTCCCATGTATGATAAGCCCAAAATAGGTTTATCAAGATATGACCTTTCATAACTGAAAACATTTCATGTGTATTGTTAAGCAAAAATAATTTAATAAGTATTTAAATCCTCGTATCCTAGCAACCAACCTTTCAAAACATTTCATGTGTATTGTTAAGCAAAAATAATTTAATAAGTATTTAAATCCTCGTATCCTAGCAACCATTTGAAAAAAAATAATACTCAAAAACTGGAAGGAAAATAGTAACCATGATTGCCTATTAATGGGAAATATACACTGGTGGATGTTTTTACATTTTAATTGATTTTCTGTGTGTGTGTAAGCACATGTGCCGAAATGCTTGTGTTGTGGTAGAGAACAACTTATGTAAGTTGGTTCTTTCCTTTCACCTTGTGGGTTCCAAGACTTGAGCCCGGATCATCAGGCTTAACAACAAGCACCTTAACCTGCTCAGCCATCTCGCCAGCCCCATTTCCTGTTTTTAAACCTTGGAATCAAATAGGATAGTACTCCTAGTTTCTGTTTTCTGTAAGCTTGTGTAGTGCATGCTAGGGATGAAACGCAGGGCCTTGCATGTGCATGCTAGGCAGAGCTCTACCACTGAACTACATCCCCAGTCCTTGGGGCTTTTTGTCCAGTAGCAGTGGTTATTGGAGACAGGGTCTCACTGTGTAGCCCTGGCTGACCTAGAACTCACTATGTAGACCAGGCTGGTCTTAAACTTACAGAAATCTATCTGCCTCTGCAACCTCTTCTAGAATTAAAGGTGCAACAATGTGCCTGGCCAGTCCTGTTGTTTTGTTTGTTTGTTTTGAGACAGCGTCTCACTAAGTAACCTAGGCTGGTATCAAACTCATGATCCTCCTGCCTTCCGGGGCTGGGATCACAAGTTCAAACCCCCATACTTGTCATGTTTGTCTTACTGCGGTACTCATTTTATCACAATACATACAAAAATTCCAGCTTCACAAAGCCATGGCTTCACCAGAAATATAATGTAATGTGATGTTAAAATCATGAACTGCCTCATCAAATAAATAGTTTGGGTGGTGTTTAACAGATAAAGGTAGATTTTGCTATTTCTCTTAAATTTAGGATATCCTATCTCTGAGTTCTCTAGAGTCCTCTGGATTCTTGACCACAGTTTTAGAAGCCCTAATTTCACTAGAATTTAAGCTATGGGGACTACCTGCTTCCTCTAGATAAACAGTTCACCATATATCTGCCTACAGAAAAAGTATAACACAAATCTCTGTCATAATAAAGATGTAAAGAAAATCCAATTTGAAAAAGGAAAAGTAAACGTTTTTAGGGTGAAATAGCTTATGCCAGTAATCTCAGTACTTTGGAGGCTGAAACAGGAGAATTTCACAATTTCAAGGCCGGGGCTGGAGAGATGGCTCAGCAGTTAAGAACACTGATTGTTCTTCCAGAGGTCCTTAGTTCAATTCACAATTTCAAGGCTGTCTTGAGGCTTTGCCTCAAAAGGAGGAGGAGGAGGAGGAAGAAATAATCCATCCTTCCTATAAAATTAAAATCATGAGATGTGAGCTTAAACATCCAGTGAATTGCAGTATAAAAGGATGTCATTGACACTAGGATGTTAATAGTAATTTTCTTACTTAGTATTTAAACCTAGCAGAGCACAGTGGTTCATGTCTGTTCTCCTAGCACACAGAAACCGGGGTAGCAGGGTTATTTAAAGTTCATCTAACCATAGCAAGACCTTTATACAAACCAAACTAAAGCAGAAAAGAAAGTTATATGAAATCTACTCCAAATATTATTTTTATAGTCATTTGGTTTTCTACTATAAAAATTTTACATTGAGCTATGCAGTGGTAGTGTAAGCCTTTAATCCCAACACTCAGAGGCAGAGGCAAGAGGATCTCTGAATCTGAGGCCAGCCTGGTCTACAGAGTTCTAGGACAGCTGGGGCTACACAGAGAAACCTTATCTTGAAAAAACTGGAAAGAAAAATTTGTTTTGTTTTTGTTCTTCATCTCTTTTAGTGGAAAAAGATGGAAACCATCATACAAAGGAGACGCATTTCAATAATTTATATAGCATGGTACATTACTGCGAAAATATAACGGAATGCAGAAGAATACAGCTTTTAGCTTACTTTGGTGAAAAAGGATTTAACCCTGATTTTTGTAAGAAATACCCAGATGTTTCTTGTGACAATTGCTGTAAAACAAAGGTAAATTATGTCATTTAAAATTATTTAATAATTGCTTGGTGGTGGTGGTGGTGCACATCTTTTTTTTTTTTTTTTTATAATTTAACTTTATTTTATGTGCATTGGTATGAAGGTATCAGATCCCCTGGAATATATAATTTAACTTTATTTTATGTGCATTGATATGAAGGTATCAGATCCCCTGGAACTGGTGTTTCTGGCAGTTGTGAGCTGCCATGTGGGTGCTGGGATTAAACCCAGGTCCTCTGGAAGAGCATCCGCTGCTCTTAACCGCTGAGCCATCTCTCCAACCTCAGGTGGTACACATCTTTAATTCCAGCACTCAGGAGTCAGGCAGGCTGATCTCTTGAGTTTCAGGCCAGACTGCCTACAGATCAAGTTCCAGGACAGTAAGGGCTACACAGAGAAACCCTATCATAAGAAACCAAAAAGAAGGAGGAGGAGGAAGAAGAAGAAGAGGAGGAGGAAGAAGAGGAGGAAGAGGAAAAGGAAAGAAGAAGAAAAGAAGAAAAAAATTAATAATTATAAGAAAATTGCTGGCTTTTTTTTTTTTAACTTAAAAAAAAAAGAGGCCACGTATGGTGGTGAGTAAGACAGACAGATCTGAGTTTGAGGCAGCCTAGTCTACAGTCTACATAGTGAACTCCAGGACAGCCAAGGCTACATTGTGAAACCCAGTCACCAAGAAATAAGTAAATAGATAAATAAATAAAAGACCAGGCATAGTGGAACATGGTCTTAGGAGGCAGTAGCAGGAAGATCAGGAATTCAAGGTGGTCCTCCACTACATAATGCATCCATGCCACTGGGCCACTTGAAACCTTTCAAAAGTAACAAAAAATAAACATCCAAAAAGATCCAACATGGACAAGCAGGGTATTTTAAATTTAACTATAACTTATGTTTAGAGATCTCATTTTCAAAACAGTAGTAGTAATGGTATTATGTTTGAAAACTGCTTGTTTAACTGTAAAGAACAATGAAAAAGACATGATGATACAGTCCCAGCAGTTCAGAGACTGAGAAGAGAAAAAGAGAGTTTAAGGCCAACCTGGACCACATAGTGAGATCATGTCTCAAAAAATACTAATAATGATATTGCTGATGGCATGACTTCTGGATAAGTTTAATATTGTCTGACCTAAAATAATCCTCATTAGGTACTTATGGCAATTACACACACACACACACACACTTCCCTAGTACTGGGAATTGATCCTAGGACGTCAAACATGCTAGATAAGTGCTCTACCAAAGAACTGTATTTCCAAGCCTCTACCTTTTTAGTGTGTGTGTGTGTGTGTGTGTGTGTGTGTGTGTGTGTGTGT